TGCATGTTCCCAATTTGTGTATTAATCTGCTATCAGTCTCAAAAATCGTAGAAAGCGAATACGAAGTTGTATTCAACAGAAAGGGATGTAAAGTTCTGAACAAAGCTGGAGATGTCATATTTACAGGCGAATTGATAGATGGTATGTTTCGCATGAATATCTCTAATAACAAATCTCTCATTTGTCAAGAAAAAACCAAGCTGGGTGAGTTATGGCATAAGCGAACTGGTCATACCAATAAAGAAACGTTAAGGAAAATGTCTTCAGGTGCTGTTCTAGGCGTGGACTGCGAAATAAGTGATCAAGATTGTGTTTCATGTTTGAAGGGTAAAATATCAAGAGTGCCTTTTAAAGATGCTGGAACGAGAGCTCATGATGTTTTAGGTTTGGTGCACACAGATCTCTGTGGCCCATTCGAGGTTCCTTCAATAAGTGGATCGAAATATATGCTCACATTTATTGACGATTTTACAAGAAAAGTTTTTGTATACTTCTTAAAAAGAAAATCGGAAGTGACAAATAAGTTCCTGGAGTTCAAGGAATTTGTGGAAAATCAATCCAAAAAAAAAAATCAAATCCCTAAGAAGTGACAACTGAATGGAATTCTGTAATAGGCGAATGAGAACAATAATGATTCAAAATGGAATTGATCATCAAACCACCGTGTCCTATACTCCAGAACAAAATGGGATGGCTGAAAAAATGAACAGGACAATAATAGAAAAAACGAGATGCCTTTTAATTGAATCGAAGCTGGATAAGAAGTTTTGGGCCGAAGCAGCTAATACTGCAGTACACCTTATCAATCGAACCCCTTGCAAATCCATCAAGAATATTACCCCTGAAGAAGTGTGGTCGGGCAAAAAGCCGTGTTTGAAATACCTTAAAGTTTTTGGATGCAAAGCCGTCATCTACATCCCAAAACAAAAGAGAAGAAAGCTTGACAATAAAGGCAAAGAAGTCATATTTGTTGGATACTCAAATCACTCCAAGATGTACAGATTTTACGACCCAATTCGAAATCAGGTCGAGTTGAGTAGAGACTTAAAATTTTTGGAGAGTGAATTTAGTAACAAGATGATTCCAGAAAATGCAAAATTTTACATTTTAAGCGGATGTGATTCAGTGGGGAAAATAGATTGCACAGACGCTGAAGTAAACCTGCCGGAATCAGATAGCGACATTACCATAAGCAACACAAGCTCCGAAGTTGTACATGAGGAAGAAGATTCTGAGTATTACTCTGATGAAACGGATTGCTCGCCATTTGTTGGTTTTGACAATGGATCCGATAGTAATTCCGCTGGTCTACCTGAAACTGGAATCACATCGTCACAACAGCTAAGACGGTCATCAAGGATTTCGAAGCCTGCAAAAAGATATGATTACGTGTACAATGCTATAGATACAAATGAAGAACCCAAGACTGTGAAAGAGGCATTAGAAGGAATCTATAAAGGGCAGTGGGAAAAGGCAATGAACGATGAATTGAAAGCTCTGAGAGAAAACAATACCTGGACTCTCACCAATTTACCAGAAGGAAAGAAGCCAATTGACAGCAAATGGTGTTTTAAGATTAAACGAGACTCAAAAGGCGATATCGAGAGATTCAAGGCCAGGCTTGTAGTGAAAGGATACTCTCAGAAATACGGTATCGATTATAAGGAAACCTTTTCACCTGTTGTCCGATATTCCTCCATTCGATTGTTATTAAGCTTAGCAGTTCAGCACGATTTGGATATTGACCAAATGGACGTAGTGACTGCTTTCCTTCAAAGTGATCTAAGTGAGGAAATATACATGAAAATTCCTGAAGGACTTCAAAACTCCAACGGTATGGTATGCAAGTTAAATAAATCATTATACGGTCTGAAGCAAGCCAGTAAAGTTTGGAACAAGAAACTAGATGGTACATTGAAAAGAATTGGTCTGAAACAATCGAAAACAGAGCCGTGTGTTTACTTCAAGATAAATGAGGAAGAAATTGCATACGTTGCAATATACGTAGACGACATCTTGATATTCACAAACAATGAAGAAACCAAACTTTTTATTAAGAAAAGCCTATCAACTAATTTCAAGATGAAGGATATAGGTCAAGCTCATTATATCTTGGGAATGAGAGTAACTCGAGATCGCAAAAAAGGGATGTTATGGCTGGATCAAGAACTCTACATTCGTAACATTCTGCAGAAATTCAACATGCTAGACTGCAACCCTATTTCGACGCCGTTAGATGTTAACCAGAAATTGTCAAAGGAGATGTGCCCATCTACAGAAGAAGAAGTAGAGGAAATGAGAAAAGTTCCTTACCAAGAAGCCATTTGAAACTTACACTATGCAGCACAAGTCAGTCGACCGGATATTTCTTATGCAGTGGGGGTTTTGTCCAGATACAACAATACACCAGGAAAAGCACATTGGCAAGCTGTCAAAAGAACTATGAGGTATCTCAAAGGCACCATTGATTTTAAGCTTCAATTTGAAAAATCTGATAAAGAATACCTGGAGGGATTTTCTGACGCTGATTGGGCTGGTGATCTAGATGAAAGAAAATCGACCTCAGGATATGTCTTCAAGTATCAATGTGGATGCATTTCCTGGAATTCAAAAAAACAAGAGACTACAGCCTTGTCAACGACAGAAGCAGAATATATGGCTTTGTCTGCATGTGGACAAGAAGCCTTATGGTTAAGGTCTTTGATTCATGAACTTGGAAATACATCACCGGTCAAAATTAAATGTGACAACAAAAGTGCTATTAATTTAATCGTAAACAGCGCCTACCATGCCAGATCAAAACATATCGACGTTAGACATCATTTTATAAGAGAACTTGTGGAGAATGGAAAGATTAACGTTGAATATATGTGTACAGAGGATATGGTAGCAGATGTACTTACCAAACCCTTGACAAGATTGAAACATGCTCATTGTTGTGAACTTATGACATTAGGAGTACAATCTAGTGGGGGTGTTGAAGAGTGATATGAACTCCCAAAATAATATTTTGCTATATGAAATATTGGAACATCAATATACCTTTGTATTCTATGTTGTTTGTTGAAAAAATAAAATTACTTACTTCCGTTGAAACCTTTAATACAATAACATTGAAAAAGGTACAAAATTTCAAATTGGGGTGTTCTGTGTCACCCTGTGAGTTTCGATAATTCTTTAATATGAATAGAAGAAATTATTGTTTTCCCATGGTAAAATTAAGAAGGTAAAGTTATTTCAAAAAATGATTCCCATCTCTGATTTGTGTATGTACAATGGATTTATAAATATGAATCTTGACAGTGAAATGTTGCCAAATGAATAATATTGAAACAAATTGGAAACATATGAAACTTGTTAATCTATTTTTTGTCGATGCAAATTTTTTGAAAGTAGTGTCACCTTTGTTTCCAACATTCTGCAAATATACAAATTCTTGGACAAAAGGCGTACCACGAATGAACGCTACTCAACATTATATTTTTCAATCAAAATTGTCAGTCTTACTGAAAATTTTTAAGATTTCATAAGATTTTTCTATTTTAAATTTTTAAATGTCATAATATATTTTCTCCTTTGTTAGGAATGAATGGATTTATGTGGGGAATTAAGAAGATATTTAATAATAAACGGTCGAAAATCGAAAAGAGAGCGAATCGAGTGACAGTGCTGCTACATCATGTGTAATTACAAACCATGGTAGAAGAATACAGATAGTCGCATCGATGCAGCTACTGGGACAATGAACTGTCAAACCAATTTTGAAATTGAAAATTTTGAATGAAAAATTATTCAATTTTGTAAACATTGTTGAATAGTCTGTATCATATCAATGGCGTCGTATAAGTTAATATATAAAAATATACATATTTTTGAAAAACATTTTGACATATCAATGTTCCCAAGCGTTGAGCCGTCTACCTGTATTCTTCTACTATGTTACAGATGCTGATCTCTATCTACAACTTACAACTTTAATTGAAGGTAAAACAGATTGAAGATACAAATTGTTTTTTAAAAGAAATGTTCAGAAATGTTTTATGTACAGTATGTCACATATTACTTACACACCCAAAAAAAAAATCATATATTTAAATTTAAAATTTTATGGCGTAAAAATGTCTGTTTTTTACATTATCTTAGTTCTACACTTTATTAGCTGCGATATAATGTAGAATAAAACTTTAATAGTTTTACAATACAATTGCTTTAAAAGTTTTACAGAAACATATATCGTAAATTGCCATTGTATGTGTGAATATATTTTTAATATATTATAATTTGGAGGAGTTCACAGAATGCAGCAACCATGGTTGAATTAATCATATGTTCAAAGTTTTTTTTTTTTTTTTCAAAATTATTCACTTGACAACATCTAATTGTCAAAATGTATATTAATGAATTCATTGTACATATACAAATCAGAAATTGGAACCTGATTTCTATGCAGTGAAATTTGGCAAGATAAATTACAGAAAATGCAGTAATGGTTATGCTTATTTGAAATGACTTTACCTTCTTAATTTTACTATGGCAGAAACCTAGGCAGAAAACTTGAAAAAATATCGAAAAGCGTGTCCGTAGCAAAAAAGAGTATCTACATTGTAATTTGTAAAAAAAAAAAATATGAACGACATACTGAAATAAAACCTTATTAATAAAACTAACATAAGTTAACTACTAGATAACACGTCTAATTGCGAGTTTTAACGACTTCAACTTTATTTGTAACGAAAACCTTGGCAATCCTATATGGTGAACATAAATAAAAAAAAGATATTCGATATTATAGATGTGTTCCAGTACTTTTTTAATAGTAAAACTAGCAGAGAAGAGAACAGTACGAAATGTCATTCTCATTTAGGTGTGCTCAAAATAAGGGAACGGAAAATTAGCAGAAATGCGATAAAATGTCAACATTCAAAATTCCAAAGAAAACAGTCTAAATCGGACTGGTGAAACCTTACTGAAATGGACGCCAAAATTTAAAAAAATGAGTATTGAAAATAAGTTGAAATTAATATTTATTTTTGCATGCTCTTTATTTAGAAAGTTTTGTTTTCAGAATGTGTTGACGAGTATTTAGAGGTGGAGTTTTGTCAAATCCCAACCCCGGAGAAGCTGACATGGTTGGAGGCGCCGGTTAAATTTATGTTAGGTCTGCTAGATGACTTAATGCCGAAAGTTGGTAAGACAGCCAACCTAAAAAATAAAAAGAACATGTTCGCAGTAATAAGCGAACGACTTTAATTTTAAGCTTAATTTTTCAATTTACCTTTCACTAATTTTGCACTGTTTTCAAATACGTTTTCTTCGTCTGATTCCTCATTCAGCCAGTCCTCTTCACTCCTGGAATCATCCAAAAGTGAATACATCAGTTGCTCCCATGGTACAATAAGGAGGTAGAACAGCTTCGTAAAACTACAGAAATACAGCCCTGAGGCTATGCCCGCTTCCAGTCAAATTTGCATGCAAACAAGTTATTTTCATTTATTCAATATTTTCCTCTTTTTTAAATCAGTTAAATAGCGCGAGAAATGAAAGAAATGCCTGGATTTTCTTTCAAAAATGTTATCTAAATAGTTCTATCTTTCAATTACATGGTAAAACTTGTGACAGCCACCTTTGGGCTGGGTATGAATGCCCACACATAATTATGCATTGGCCACATTTGAATATTATCGCACAGTCGATTATATATTTTTGGGTCACAAACAAATTACAATTAATTTTATTTATTTTGTTGAATTTATAGTTTCCATCAAGAAGTTGTAAAAAGGTAAAAGCAAAACAAAATAAAAACATCTGTTCGTGTCTATCGGTGTTGTAAAGGGATTCAATTTCATGTTGCGTAGTTACACCACGGTGTAAAAAAAAACTTCAAACTGTGCCTGATCATAAATTGTACGATCAATCCTCAAACCAAATATGTACAATTTATCGAATGAATCAAGTTTTGATTTTTTTATTAAATAATAAAAATAATAATGAATACAATTTATAATGTAGTAAACTACTTGAATACTATTTTGGTATACACCAAATATATACGTGTTTACTACTGAAAACATTCTTACAAGTGATGTAATTTAGCGCCATCTGGAGATTAAACCCAGAACAAAGGATGAAAAATATCGAGATCCACCATGGTTGATATTCGAATGACAGTATATCACTATATTTCCACCATGTGCATTCTGACCTTCATTGAAAGTGACATTGAAGTTACGATTTAGAAAGTCATAGACTGTCAGAGTGAAGGTGATATACTAAAAACCACCACGAAGTAGATAATAGCCGTTAAATAAATACAAAAAGCCTGTAAAATGGTGAACCAGTGAAATTATATACTGATTTTAATCAAAATCAATTAAAAATATCATTCAAGAATAGTCATAGCTGACGTTGACGTTAATAAAATATTATTGATATTAAAAAAATTTTACACTCGGGATATTGTGGTAAAACCAGGATATATATATATATATATATATATATATATATATATATATACATATGTTGCAAACCAACTTCACCTGTGGATGGTGAAACCACTTTATCCCGGGATTCACAATAAATGAGAAAGCTTCACTTATCTATCTCAAAAACCAAAGAAAACCGGATTGAAAGACTACATTTTTTTTGATAAAAAAATTGATACGAGTGAGTACGACAGTCAAAAAAATATAAAATTATGAAAGATCATTCTGTATAAAAAAATATATATATTAAATGCGAAAAAACTAATATTTGTATACAAATTGATATGTTAAAAAAATATAATCAAATTCGACACACCTCACGTGTTCAAAAAAAATAACTGTACAAACAAGAAAAATTGTTCGTAAAACTATTTAAAATAAATTGTCTAAAATCTAAAGCGGAGTTTTAGGCGCTTATGATTTTCAATAAAAATTATCCCTGTATAAAAGGTTTTCTTCACAAAATATGTAGCATGACACAAAATTTTACTTTCATTTTAAATCAATATAAATATAAATCATATAATGTCCTAAAAAAACTCATTAATTTGCCAAAACAATTTTTTTTATGAATAATAATTTTTATGAGTAAAATTAGTGAAAAAAAATATAAAACTGAAAGAAATTATATACATAAATTTATACAAATCAAAAAAAAAATAGAACTAGTTTTAATTATTAAAAATAATATAAAAAAGAATGTAAAAATAATATATATTATATAATAAAATTAAAAAAAAAATTATAAATATTAAAATTATTAAATAAATTAAATATTAAATAAATTAAGGTAAAATTACTATGATTAAAATATTATTATAAATAATGTGTAGCATATTAGCTAAAGATTAATAATATACGAACAAATTAAATAATTAGAAAATGGAAATGTAAACTTTTATTTAAAATGGGTTGAGTAATTTATCAGGGTAGTGATAGTCGTTTTTGGGGTGTTTCTACAGAATTTTTGGCGACAGAAACACCAATGTATACTGAAAAATGTATATGAGGGGTGGGCAAAGCCAAAGAGGTGTAACATCAGAACCTCATTCAAACTGGAATTCTACCTTGTGTTTATTTTAAATTGAAAGGCTAAGGCAGATATATGTATACATCCGTTTCCTCTTAAATTCTTTTTATTGTTTTCCCTTTTTTTCTTAATACAAACTATGATGACAGTTACGAAATAATCAAAGGTACACAAATTTAAGTGTGCTGTCAATTGGATAAAGAACTCCCCTATCCGGCGAGCTAAGCCGCAGCCTACCAACATGTACCTACTCCACTTAACCCAGGCAGTCACAAACTCGCTAATAGCTGCAATGCGCGTCCCGCAATGTGCGCATCTTCCAATATTTGATTTTGAAAATATTTTGTTTTTATTTTTCAAAACAATAAATACATATACAAAATTGGCAGAAGTCGGGCACACTTAGAAAAAAATTGTACTCAGCTGGTAGCTCTACCTTACCTTTTAATTGTACCATGGTTGCTCCATATTTTCTCTTTTTGTTTTTTGCACGACAAATATTAGTTTTTAAGTTTAACTTTTTTCTTTACATTTGTTGTGACGTGCGAACATTGAAATGTATCAATACATTTTTCAACCTTGTTAGCCCTATAAATTAAAATGTCAAATTAACAATTTGCACATTTCTGCTCGGCCAAATTCATGTAGCTATAACAAGCAGAAATGTGCACCACTCAGCGCAATTTTTTTCTCGAGAGAGCTGCAAGTTTTGCTAGTTTTTGGAGTACGGGAACGCGTTGTAGTAGAATTAGCACTAATTAGTACTAATTTGTAGGTTCTGGAACACTACTTATGTGTAGCGCAGGTGTTGCGCAGCGTTTTCCCTTGAAAACAGAGTATAGATGAATTATGACATTAATTACAGGCGTTAAAAAGTAATATTGACCAAGTAGAATTCAATGCAAATCCTTTATATTTATCCTAATGCAATACATCCACATCTGTCGACTGATATTGAACAATCCATGTAAACTGTGAAAAACCATATTTGAATTGAAACTTTTGAATGAAAAATTATTAACATTTATAAAAAAAGGAAAAATTGTAACAATCTCAGGCTTTTGTTTTGCGAAATTCATACAGAGTTGATTTGATGTTCACATTACAGTCAAATATTTATATATATATATATATATATATATATATATATATATATATATATATCAATTGTTTATAAGAGTCCCATGTAAGATGGTTCTCTACCAAAGTAGCCTAAACACACATTTTAAGCTAAAACGATTCGAAAATGTAACCAAAACCCTCGAAATAGGTAAAACCAGGAGGAACCTTTATATGAGCGCTACTCCAAAAATTGACATTGACAAAACATTGAGGTGACCTAGAATGTGACCAAGACCCTGGAAATAGTTGAAATTAGTGGATGTCTTCATATAAGGGTTATACCAAAGCTTGGTCCCATACTTATAATTATGAAAGAATATTTTGTTCTTTCTAAAATCTCAAATAACCAACATTTAAGGAACTATAAAAGGGCTATATCACAATGCAGACCAACCTGAAACATATTTTGTACAAATGATTCTCTATGTAACCCATAGGACTGCATCAAAATTAAAACTCTATCTCAAATTTTTGCGGAGTATAGAGGAAAATATTTGTTTAAGCTATATAAAATGGACCCTAAAAAGTTTGACCCGGGGAACCCCCCTTTTTGGTGTTTTTAGCTACCAACCAAAAAATTTCCCAACCTCATGATTGTCTAGGGCGCAGTGTAACTACTGACGATAGCACATAGTTTCGGGTTTGGTTAAGGGTCCGGAAGAATTTTCAGATGATATGAATCTTTTTCTTACTAAATTTTCAATTCGCTCCACTATTTTGTACAGTACGCATATTACATTGCCTCTTCATATTCGGTAGTTTACTGATTGCAGTCCCAATGAATTTTGCATTGGATGGATTATTTCCATATCTAGTCAATTTTTTTGGAGTTTCCGACCTCAGTAATTTCTAAATAGAAATCCTGGAAATATGACTTTAATTTAATTATCATAAATAAGGTGTCATCGGTTTATAAAAGTTAGGGACCCCATAAACTATGTTAAAATGTTATTATGTAAAAAGTAGAAATCTTTGTCGATTAAATTATGGCATGTTTTTGTTACAATTTCTACCGAATGAAATGTAATTTGACATTTAATGTTTTGAGTATTGTGAAATCAACAACGGCAATAACAGTTTAAAAGCACGTTGAGCTTAAAATATTGTGATGCTTCGAGAATTATTTTTTTTTTTTATGAAAATTTAACCTTTGGTATGACAACCAATTTCTCGTGTTTTTTCAATAAGAATTTTCTATTCCAAAACGCATTCTGAAACAATTCTACACAAAATTCCATATCAAAATAGAACAGTTAATACAATTCTGCAATTTTTCTAGAGACTTTTCTCAAAATTTTCTTTCTTGAAAACGTTTTCAGTGTAATTACAAATAAATAATAAGCGATCCTCAACTGAAGTTTTACTATGCTTTTTTAAAATTTTTACATATAGATCTAAAAAAGTGGGTGTGGGCAGCTCCTTTGACCCTAGATACCTAGGCTTAGACGGAGAGTCAAGATTACGTTGAATACTAACTGTGGAGCAGATATCTTCATTATTTTGGCAAATAAGATTTTAGGTAAATCGAAAAATGGACGTAAAATTGGGCGTGGTCACTTTTTCTCTGCATAAAAACCTAACTCGTGGTAGGACGAACATTAAAAAAATATCCCAATCGTTCTAGCCGTTCCCAACTGATTCAATTACCAACGAACAACAATTGTTTATTATATATATATAGATTAGAAGTATGCATGGTCAATTCCTCAGCCCCCAAATAAATCGCTAGGGTTATAGGGAACGTCAATAGTATGTCGTGTAATAATTTTCAAATCGATATCTGCATTATCTGGCAAATATAAAGATTTTAGATAAATGAAAATAGTGAGCGTAAAATTAGGCGTGGTCAATATTTTTTTTCTTTAAAAACCTAACTCGGGGTATGACGAACGTTTGTACAAAAAATTATGCAAATCGGTTCAGCCGTTCTCAACTGATTCCATTACCAACGAACAACAATTGATATATATATATATATATATATATATATATATATATATATATATATATATATATATATATATATATATATATATATATATATATATATATATTAATTATTAATTAATATTTGGTGGTCAGATTGTGACAAAGAAATGTTTGACAAATATTTGCCTTTAGTAATTTTTCCTCTTTATTTTTCGCGACAACCTGCATTATTGTATGCAATGTTATTAGCGGTCCCCGGTACGTATACATCATGTTTATGAAAATAAAACAATATTATGAAAATAAAAGCTGAATTTTTTTTATTGCATGTATGTTTAGATTGGTTGCAAAAATGAAGAAAGTAGAAAAATATGGGAATAGGTAGAAAGAATAAAAAAGGACCAAATCTTTAATTTGAATTTAACCATTGAAAATTGAAATTTTCCGCGAAAAAGGGTATTTTATTTCCCGCAAGCAGTGCCCCCTCTGAGAGAGTATTTTCAAAGGCACGTAATTTAATAACTGATAAGAGCTCCCAAATCGGAGTAAAAACTTTTAATCATATTATGTTTATTAATATAAATATAAAAAAACTCACTAACATATTCTG